TCCCCTCTGCTGTTACTTGCAGTAAAATGCTGTTATCAGTACAGACTCATGAAGTCCTATTTTTCCTAATGCTTTATAATTTACTACACCATTATTTTGGTGCTCAAGTTATCCTAGATTTTACCAGTAGCAGCTCCTCTAAGCTTATTTTTGAACATTTCCTTACTTTCTCCTAAAACACAATGTGTAGGCACATCCGTATCTACCTCCCCTAGCTTAGGGTCATAATTTTGAATAGCTTTTATGTAGTTATGCTCACAGGGGCTTATTGGGTTGCTTAGACTAGCTATCACTTTGCAAAAAGGTCACAACTTATTCCTTCCTTTGATCTGTGTTTGTCTTTTTGTAGATTTCTGGTCGCCTTCTTTCCTGGTTGTCAGGCTGTTGTAACTGACTTTGAAAGTTCCTCCCTCTTCAACTCTTTTAAATTGCTGCTTATAATCTTTTATTGACTGGAAGGCGAGATAACCAAACTCATTAAAGTTTATGAAAAGCAAAAGCAAATGGGCTATTTACTGAGTGCCCACAGCATATTTTTATGAGCAAAGTATAAAGTTTGAGGAATGAACTTTATTTTTTATTTAGTTTCCTTTTTTTAAATGAGAACTTTGGTTCTCAGCTCTGCTCTGGATAGTTGAGGTTGCAGGTAAAAACTTGGAGAGGTAAGTGAAGTGGTTAATGTTCTTCAAAGGTGGCTATACAGTTTGTAAGGTAAGAATGTATTTAGGTTCCCTTTGAATTATAGGGTTTCAGGACAGATTTTCTTTTCAGAGCCAATTCCAGTATAAAAATCTGAATTTCAAAAAAAATCTACCAAAGGGATTGGAAAGCATTGGCTCTCAACTGTGGTTGCCTATTTGAATTACCTGGGGAGTTTTAAAGCACATTAATGGCTGGGTCTTACCCTACCCAGATGTTTTGATTAATAGGTTTGGTGGGGGTGTGGACTGAAGATTGGAACTTTTTTATGTTCCCTAGGTGATTCTAATGCACAACCAGGGTTGAGAACCATTGCTGTAAAGAATGAAAACATACTAGAAAGACTAAAATCTCTGATCCTTAATAGAGAACTTGTGAACGGATCCAAGTCTCTTATGTTTTAAAAATCTAAACTTGTTTTACATCATAGAATCCTAGAACTAGAAGGGATTTTGGAGACTATCTAGTCTAATGCATTTTTGGAAAATAGATAAGTAAATTCAAGAGCCAAGAGGTAAAGTGAATTTTCCAAGTCATTTTGTTTTTCATTGTAGATGAACATGTTCCTTCAAACAAGAGTTTCTAAGAATGTGACTTACAGGCTACTTGAGTCAGAATCACTAGGGAATTTTGTTAAAGTGCAGATTTCTGTGCTTCCCCCAAACCTTCTGAAGTTGGATCTATAGGTGGTGGGGCCCAGGAACCTGGGTTTTCTAAACACTGATGTCTGAAAACTACTACTCTGAATATAATATTTATGCTGATCAAGGTAGCATAGTGGATTATGAGCACAGTGGATTATGAGTTACTCCATGGAGAAAGATGAGGCTTTCTGCTCCCTAAAGATTTATAGACTTGGAAACCCTGTACAGGGTCTCTGTGAGTCAAAACTGACACCACAGCACTTAATAACAACAATTAAGGAGAACCAAGTTATTTATTATATATAGTTTATGGAAATGAATAAAGGTGTGGCACTGTGGGTTAATGTGCTGCACTGTAAGGTCAGTTTGAACTGCAAGGTCGGTGGTTCAAGCTCACCAGCTGCTCCTCAGAAATCTTATACAGGATTGTTATGGGTTGGAACCAACTTGAAGGCACTTAACAACAACAACTAAATAACAATGTTAATTTTTAATAAATCCATAAAGCAGTTCCTAGGAAACCTGATAGTGTAGTGGATTACAAGCTGGACTCTAATCTCAAGGTCAGCAGTTTGAATCTACCAACTGCTCTACAGGACAAAGATGAGGCTTTCTATTCCCATAAAGATTTACAGCCTCCGAAATCCTATACAGGGTTGCTATGAGTCAGAACTGACTCAACGGCACACAACCACAACTACCCCCCCACCCCCAGTATTTATTTATTTTTTAAGCTTTTATTGTGAATTATGTGATATTTTACATGGGAGAACATTAGCTTTACATTCATCCTGGCTTACTTCATTTCATTGCAATGATTACAATTCCCTGCATGCATCATCAAACAGCAAGCCTGCCCCCTGGCTGTCAACACACAGACCCTCTCCCTCCCAGAGTCCAGAGTCCCTAGCTGCTCTATCTCCCCACGTAATTGTCTCTGCCTCCATCTCTGGTGTCACTGCTTCTCTGGATAGGGTCCCACACTCTGATCTCCTTTGATGGCCCCAGGGTCTTCTGCTCCTAGACTGCAAGATCAACCATCCCATTTTTTTGGTTACAAAACGTCTACCTTTGCACTTGCAGCATTCACACAATCAGTCCTGATAGTAATTATTCACTATTGAACCACAAGAGTCTTATCCCCATATCCTTTCACCAGCCCTGTCCAGACAGGTTGGAAAGCATTCAGTGAAGATTCTACCTTCCCCC